AATATACCACCAAATGCGTGAAATCATTGTTGGACCATCTGGTAATGCGAAACTTACCGAACAGTGTTATTGTGTTAATGACGTGTCGCATTAAACAAAGAAACAATGCAGTCTTCTTTGCATGTATGTATGTATTGTAGAAACTACTGTCCACAATTCAATACTATTTATTACTAGACAATATTTCTTGCTACATGTAAATGCTCGTAAGAGCATTCCTTCGCACGAGCTCAGGCGCGTTATGTAACAAATTCGTGTTTCAGCAAAATTAAATACGTAAAATATGCATATTCCTTGCCACTCCGATGTTTTCCTATTGTTGTTTTACAATGGAGTGCTCGGTGTGCTTTTGTGCGGGCACGTTTCGAATTTTAACGATTTGAATGATTATGGTCAAATTGAAACGATCCTACATCGTCTACCAAGAATAAATCGTCGGATTTGGTCCCACGCTCTCTAAGATCAAACGAATTCACCGAATGATTCTATATTGTCGAATAATAAATAATTCACCGTAACTAAACCACAGATTCCGCGACTCGCGTCTCCTCCGCCATCTTTAAACTAGCAAACTGCAAACAAAACTTTCTGCTCGAATAAAAATAACAAGTTTATTTTCTGCAAAAGACGTTCCTGCAAATCGATTTGTAACATTTCGATAGAAATCTGTGTTTTAATAATTACTGCAATTTTTTCAATTGTCGGACAGTAGCGTATGCATCTGCGGATGCAAGAGGAAACGCCATAAGCCGCTCATCGAAGGTCGAATCTTATTTATCACGATCGTTGTTTAGCCTATATTTTAAACAGCGTTCCGTCTCGCAGTGCCCGGATGCGCTATCGCGCGTGTGAAATAAAATCGAAACGATTAAAAAAAAAACGCCGGAGAATAGAAGAAAGGGAAGCAAGTTCACACGTAATACTTACTCATTGATGCCCGCGACATCGCTGTCCAGCATCATGCTCCAGGTCTGTTCTGTAATCATTATCCCCCGGATGATCCGCGTAAACGAACAAACCGCTCACGTTGTGATTGTCAGCTGTGCAATTGCCTTAGTATCCGGCATTTTCACACACCTTAAACCAGAACTTGTTAAGAGACGAAGCCAATTTCTCGTCGCGCGCCCAGACCGTGGTCGGAAACGTCCAAGAGACCGATAGGCAACTGTTCCTTCGTTCGATTATCCTTTTATCCGTCGGCGAGATACTTAGCCACTTATCCGACCGTTCATCTTACCCGGATCGCGAATCTTCGATTTACAGGAGCAACCGGGCTCGCCATTCTCTAAGAACCTCCGGAGGAACCGGACACCGAACGCGATACTCAACGAAACCCGACCGATCTCCCACGATTCTCGCGAGAATTTCGATTCTCCATCGTACTTTCCACTCTCGTTCGCTCTCGTTGAATTTTTCCTGCCGTTCGATCACGAAAATTTTTCATCATTACATATTTTGCTTTCTCGCGCGTCGACCCTTTTCTCATTTTCTTTTTCTTTTTTCGTATTTTCTTTTTTTGTTCGTTCGTTTTCGTTTACTGTTCCACTTTACGTACAACGTTCGGTTGGTTTATGTTTTGTTTCTCGTTTGCTGTGTGCTTGCGAAGGCGTGGTCACTTACGCACGAAAAATCCGTGGATCGAAATAAAGAAAGCGCGGCGACACACACTCTTCACGCAAAGACCGTGCCGCGTTTAATGAGGCGCTCTCCCCCTCGGTATCCGGCAAAGATGGTTCCGCGACTGGAGCAAGAACATGATGCGCTTATTTTTACGCACTTCACCGTCCACGGTGGACAATTAAGCAAAATCGCCGAGAAACGCTCGGTTTTCAACGGAAACGATCCGAAGAAAAACGGCCGAACTTTCGCGCCGTGGAAAATTGGCTACGTGGAGGAACTTGTTCCTTGAACAAGTGCGGATTATGAATCGGAATATTTAGAAACCGAGTAGAACAACAATTTTCATATACAAAATAAATATATGATAAGTTAATGATTTTTGTAATAAACGATTCTAAACTCGAACAGAATCGTTTCGAATGGTATGAGACTTTAACTTGTATCGATCGAAGATTGACGCATTGTTCTTTTGTATTCCTCTGAATTAATCGAAAGTTCGTAAAACATTTAAACCGAGTTACATCCCAAGGAACATATTTTTAACGTCGTGCGTAGAATAATATGCAACTTCTAACAAATGCGATAAACTCTTCATACTTGTCCGTAACGAACAAACAACGAATCTCCAACAAAACTAGCAAATTTACCTGTAGCCCCAGGCGTCTTCGAATTACTCCACGGATGTCTACAATCGCGGAACCACGTTCTAAGAGCACTAATTTAAACGCCTTCAGAGCTTTCTTCTTCTTCTTCTTCTTCACCAAAAACAGTTTGAATCATTTTAAACGGAGAACTATGAATAGAAGAAAAATTCGTGTTCAGAGATATTTTCCGTACGTGAAAATGGCCACTGCAGAATCGTCTAGCGGAGAAGAAGCTGCACGGTTTCCGTGGGGAGTGTTGTCACCGCGTTTCGCATATTTCCTTCCGTCGTTTCAGTGTTTTCTCATTTGCTTTTGATTTGTTTAGTGTTGCGCTTTGTTTTCTCTTTCTCTCCCTCTCTCTCTCTCTCTCTCTCTCTCTCGCTCTCTCTCTCGCTCTCTCTCTCTCGCTCTCGCTCTCGCTCTCTCGCTGTTTTGAACCGCCTTACCTGTTGACTTCCGTCTACGATTCCGTGCGACTTGCTGGTGCCAGCACGAAGAGGACCGGGATCGGCGAACGAGAACGTCGGCGAGCGGTCCCGAGAATCGCGGGGCGGCATCCGCCGATGGTAAAATGGCCACGCGGAATCTTCCGGATGCGAGACCGTTTTAACGCAGACGAGTCGACCACCTGATCATCGAACGAATGGACGTGCAACGTGCTTGTCACCGCGCGATGGCTCTCTTCACACGTCGAACACCTTCGCGCCCCGTACCATCCCCTCTCGGGACCACACACGCGACGAAGAAGGGGGATGCGATCGAGAAACCACACAGGAAGTGGGTCCCGGAGTGCCTCAACCCCCAGAAACCCGTAACCCGCGAACCATAAACACCCTTCGTTTGTCGCGGTGAATCTTCTTCCCTGCTATTCGCGCTCCAGGCACAGAGAAACGATAAAAAAATATATTTCTGTTAATTACGCATTATGCGGAATGCGATCAAAAGTATGCTGCGAACGGGCATCGGGCGATTTTTCAAGCAAAGCGAGCAAAAAGTCGGTTTCTTTTAATGATTTTACGCATCGGACCTACAATAGAGATTGCCATAATTACAGCTAGTAACGATTTTTTTAAATTACGTTTCACAGGAGCAGTATAACCATCTAGTTGCGAAACATCCGAACTAAACCATTTTTGCAATTAGAATTTATACATCAAAAATAAGGGAAAATCTGGTGATTTGGGAACTAAGAGAATATTTTAATGGTTCAGAAATTTTCAGAGAAATTTTCTGCATCCATTTCTTGTCGAAAAGACAATTTATAATAGCTAATATATAACGAATATTTGTTGCAGCCAAAGATGATTCTTGCTGAATTAGCCATAAAGAGAATACGTACATGGAAAGTGGCATATAAAATCTGGCAATTAGGGATTCTGAAGTTTCATTATTATTACAAATATAGGAAACATCATTCTTACCACTGTCGCCATAAGATGTCATATGAAATGAGGTACGAATCATATGCTTCTAAAAATATAAAAATAGCGCTATCGCACCTAGTGGCAAAATGCTCAAACTGGTAGAGGAATGAATGCACCGACAGAGTAAATAAAATCTGGGAAATACGCAATGGCATCGTTTGTGTCAATCGATACTATTGTACCGTCAGTATTATCATGTACAGATAATTTGGCGAAAAATTTGAGCGTTTTGTCACTACCATGTCTGGCTTGTGCTGTACGGACCTTTGAACTAAGCTTCGAAATTTCACCAAAAGCGGAGCCACTCGTCATAGAAATGGCGCTATTTTTAAATTTTTTGAGGCTGATCATGCTGGATTGTACATTATATTTTATGACGAATATGGTAAGAATCGTATGTTTTCTATATTTGTGATATTAAATAAACTTCTTTGGCGTGATATAAATGCAGGAGAGCCTCTTGTGTGTGAATATTTTTATGTGCGCCCCGAATATTCTTTAAACATTACATAAAAGAGATTTAAATAGTACCAGGTATAAGGGAAATCGGTAAGCGATGCTCGAACATGTCAGCCTAGTCGTACTCGATACTACTTATGCCCAAATAATTTTCAGTCTCAATTTTGACGAATATTTCTTACAGAAACTGATCCTATGGATTATTCAAAATAAGATGTTTTGTATTCTTATAGTATTATAAACATTTGAAAACATCACACTTTATGAATGTAAAGAGGAAAATTCCTGTATGCATACCATATTTTCTATTAATTACGTTTTCATCTATGGTATTTTTTTGCATGATTCTCATCGTAATACGAGCATAAAGAAATTAATTGATCGAGACGTTTCCAAGCGAGGTACCTTTATTTACATAATTAATTACAAACTTAACGATGAACTGTAGTAATACAGCCTTTTTTCTACACTTATACTTTACATGTTTCTATGACTATGTATGTGCATAGATTCCTAATGGATGTCGTAGTTTATATAATTACTCTAGTATATATATATTCTGAGAAAATCAAAAGAACCCCCACTTACACGTATATCGTCAACTCAGGAAAATTGATACTTGTAAATCATCTAAGCCTGATAGTGTGTAATGCTTAACGATTACTGATGCAACGCGTGCGCTTTTTAATATGCACTCTTCGTACATACGCATATATGCGCATTATTCATCGTATCGATCAATAAAACCTGACCGATACAGCAAGTAAAAAAGCATTAAATGTCTTCACATTAAGGGCACTAATCCAAAGACACTGGTTATTAAAATATGCACTCACTGCTTCGTACCGTTTTGTTTCCCAGTACGGTTTCGAATTTTTTATAGTGGTCTATGCTGCTTTATTTTGTATTTACGCGAAATACAATCGTGATATAATACCATGACAGCAATTAATGTGTGTTAAATGTACATATTTATAGAGGCATATAATAATCACAATGAAAATTATATTCAACAGCTTGCCTTTACTTTCAAGCAATTATCATTTCAAATAACTTATATGATAAACATAATGTTGAATTACTGTTGAATGTTGCTCTAAAACTATACAAAGTTCCTGATCAACTATTCGTATCGTAATATATAGTAACCAATTTGTGATATCTATCGGCAATCACAAGAAAGTAATACTAAGCGAAACCAATGCCACTAATTGTGTTACAAGTATGACCAACACGCATACTAATCGACGCCTGGCTGATGAATACTCAAGACAGAGCGACATTTATGAACAATCTTGTGAAAAATTCTTAATAAACAGAAAATTTCCTAATCTATCAAGATTACAAATCTCTGAGTTAGCAAGAACAAAAATTAAAGATAAGCAGTTAATAACTACTCGTATGCTAAAAGAAAATTCTAAGGCTGTTATCTCTCCTAGAGCTAAAGTATAATGTAAGCAGAAAAAACGTATAATAGAAAATAAGCATGGACTCAATATTTATCTAACTCTAGCATATCATGCGCGACTAAACAGACGACAATACTGCAAATACCGATACCATAAACATATAAAAATTTGATGAATAGAAAAAAACTTCATTAGAGTTCAAACAAAACAAGTCATTACGTTTACAAAAGAAAGCAGTGACGTACACTTTCAATAGATGTTTTCAATATCTCTTCAATGTCTACCTCATGTGCTATACTACTGGATATGTTTATTACATCGTTTGAATATTAG